CCCACCCCCATCTCTGCCGGCCCCGCCCCGCCCCGTTCCCTCCTGCGGATTCCCGCGGCGACTCCCGGGTTTCCGCGTCCCGGGCGCCTAGCGCACAGTTCCGGAGCAGAGGGAGGAAGTCGGACCCTGCAGTCAGGTCCCCTCCCGGAGGGCGCCCAGGGTAGCTGAGACCCGGGGAAGGGCCTAGTGTATAGATGATGGTGTTCAGGGAGCACCGGGTTGCCCCCAAGACCATTGCAGACCAGAAACGTCAACTGTGTTGGGCTTTGAAATAACAGAAACATTTTTTAAAATAACAAAATAGCATTACAGTTTAAAGCAATTATATTCAGGATGTTTAACACTCGTGCACTTTTCGTTGACACGAATAACTGTCCCTGTCTCTGGAGGGAGCACCAAGACATCGCCGTCCAGATGTGTACGCGCGTCGGTGGTCGCAGAGGACGTTGCTTTTAGCTCTCGTTCTGATGCTCTCACGAGGGATCCCACGCGTGGGCAGGTGTGGGAGCCCCGGGCAAGTAGTAGTGGCCCAGGAGGTGCCGGTGGGGGCCCCATGGGACAGGTGTTGGTGATGAGAAGGTGGAAACGCGTGTTCCTCTCCCTTGCAGAGCCAGAAAGGGGCTCCAAGCGGTAGGGAAGTCAGCTAAATCCAGAAAGAGCAGAGAAGAAAGGAAGGGCCATGGAAACGTCCCTGGGGATTTTGACAGAGGGATCTCTGACAAAGCGTGACTGTCAACCAGGACAGAACAGAAAAGTAAAAGTAAAATAACCCTCGCAGGACACGGAGAGCCCAGGGGAGCCTGGGAACGCTCAGCGGGGACGGGAGGGGTCACCAGGCAGCACCCCTGGAGCAAGCAACAGATAGGCCGTACCCCAGCCTGGGCGCTGGGGTCCAGGACTGGCCGGTAGAAGACCAACATCCTCTTAATAAAACCGAAGGAGGGCGCCAGCTGTGAACGGGGGTGCACCAGAAAACACAGAGCGGACACAGATAGAAAATATCCCTTCCTGAAACACTGCCGGGCCCTGGGAGCGCAGAGATGAATGGGACAGGCGAGAAGACAGGCCGAGGAGGAGCGTGTTGGGCTGCAGCAGAGGATGCACTGAAACAGTGAGCAGCTACTGGGGAGGAGCGCGAGGAAGCAGCACAGCTGTTGCTGGACCGAGTTTGAGGACAAGTATGAGTTTGGCCCGAGGTCAAGTCGGGAGGGCGTGGGTGGTAAAGGGTCCGCACACACAGCCTGGGGTTTAGGGCCTTGGAGGTTGTTATGACTTGTGTTTAGATGCGTGTCCCCTCCCCGCCCCCCAAGAGAACCGCAATGTTGATTATGCCCAAAGCAGGCTGTGAAGAGTTAACGCCACATTTGGCTTGTTTTGAGAAGTGAATCTGGCCACAGCCTACTTGCCGAGGTCAAAGTAACTCACACCCAAATTCCGTTCCCACAACTAAAATCTTCTGACTAGAAGGACAATGTTCTAATTACAACCATATATTTTGTCTATTTTGTTCCTAATTCGAGAATGCTTTGTCTTGTCCTTTAGGAGCCTTGTTTACATTAATTTCCGTAGAAACTGCATGTAGTTTGCCTTTACCCCAATTGATTGCCAATAAAAGTCAGTGCCTGGGACTGGCCAGGGCCTTTGTTGGCTGCACCAGTATTGGCTGTCCTGGCACCTGCTTTCTGTCTCCTAGTTCTGTCTCTTAGGGTATTTATTTCTCAGGCCTCCATCGTATACAGGGCAGGGTACTGGAACCTAACTGCAGGGGTCTCCAGTACCCCCAAAGCCTCATGCTTTTCCAGAGGTAGTTAAATCTAGATCCTGTGACTGACTCATAGTGGGGTTAGGCCAGAGGGCACTAGGATTAAGGGTGTGAGTGCTATCCTCCCTAAGCAGTCTGAAAAAGATAAAAAGGGGCAGAAAGACACTGTTAAAATCTCTCTTGTTGCCTTTGCTACCTTGTGTGAGCCATGTCACTTCTCCTCTGTGATGCCTGTTTGCCATCCCTACCTTGGAGCCAGCCAATTGTGGACTGAAACTTCTATGAACTGTGAGCCTAATAAACCCTTTCTCCTTTAACTTTGGGTGTTGGGTATTTTGTCTCAACAAGGAGAGAAAAGTAACTAACACAGAGATTGAAACTCCTGATTGCTGCTACCTAGTTAGCTGTGTGGCCTTGACAAGGAGTAGGATAGGAATCTCATCGATCTTCAGGTTGCTCAACCATGTAATCCGTATAGTCAGAGTTACTCCTTTACAGAACTATCCAGGCAGGGTATATTTAAGCACTTGGAATACACAGCACTATGGTTTGGATGTGACCTCCGAAGTCCCCATGTTGGAAATTTAATCCCAATGTAACAGTGTTGGACAGTGGACTCTTAAGGGATTAGTCACCTCTTACTAGGAATTGATTAAAATAATGGCACCCTCTCTTGCCCCTCCACCTTGCAACACAGCATGAAGGCCTTGTCCAGATGCTGGTGTCTTGCTCTTGATGTCCCAGCCTCCAGAACCATCAGCCAAATAAACTTCTGTTCTTTATAAAGTACCTAGTCTGTAGTATTCTGTTACAGCAGCTCAGAACAGACTAAAACACACTAAGTGCTCAAGGAATATCAGCTATTATCACTAGGTGTACAAAAGCTCCTGATATAGTCAACACAGCCTCACCCATATATCAAACATGATTAAGCTCTTATCTACCAAATACTAGACAAAAGAGAACCATAGAAAGAAAAGAATATGTAAGTAACAGGGAAGGAAGGGAAGGGTACTGCTATACCCTGACTTAGCTTTATTCATGCCCCAAGGCTCCTGCCCACACCTCTCACTACCCAAGCCAAACAGAAGCCTTGGGAACAAGGGAGCTCCAGGGTGCAGACTCCAGTCAAAGAGCAAGGTGCAGACATGCAGAGGAAACCCAAGGGGCTGAGGAGCATAGACAGCTCAGGCACTAACATCATCCTGTGGCTGCTCCTTTCCAGTCACTCATCTCCCTGATGGTGTCGAGTTGAATTCCATCCCCCAAAATGTGTATGTCAAACTTCAGTAGCCCAAGAATGTGATCTTGTTTGAAAAGAGCCATTGCAGATGTGTTTACTTAGCTGGAGAATATTAGGGTGGATCTTAATCCAGCATGATTGATAACCTAATAAAAAGGGGGAAATTGGACAGACAGTCATACAGGGAGAACACCCCACGAAGATTCAATTATGCTGTCACAAGCCAAGGAATAGCCAGACTCCAAGAGAAAGGCTTTCCTGGCACCCTCAGAAGGTACCAGCCCTCCTAACACCTGGATCTGGGACTTCTACCCACCAGAACTATGAGACAGCGCATTTCTGTGTAGTCTGTGGTTCACTGATGGCCAATTAAGCAAATGAATGCAGTTGCTTTTCCCATTCTGAGGCAGGAGATTAAAGCATGGCAAGTGGGCGTGACCTGTCAATCACAGAGATCCAGGACACAGGCCCAGAACAGTTCCCCAAGCCCTGCACCTCCAACCAATCAGAAAGTGCTATCTTCAGTTCTTCTGGTGTGAAATTAAACAGGTTTTTGATATGTTGGCCTAGACCTGATGTCAGAATGGGAGACACAAAAGATGTCTGCAGTTAACGTCCTGGCCACTGTGCTCTCTTCAGTGGCTGGCTCTCACCTTGCAGAGTGTATTTCTTTTCCTACTTAACAAGCCTGCACTCACGATGTCAGGCATACTTATTTTCCTAACTGTAATAAATGTAAAACCTCACTACCATTTGCTTCTTTGTTCAGGACAACAAGAACGTGAAAAGAATCCCTAGGAAACCCATGGCCCCCCAGAACTCTGGTAACACCCTGCCCACAGTCCTCTCCCAACCATTCCGAGAGGGATTCTATTTCCTGCCAGGCCTCTGGCTGCTACCAGGAGTGATTCCAGGAAACAGCCTCAACACAGAATTCTGCCTGGGTTACTCCCTGTCTGTGTGCACAGCAGGAACGAAATGGGTGTTAGGAACCAGCAGCAGCAGGGCTGCTCAGATTAGCACTGGTGGTGAGGTAAGGAGCGGATGGAGGACACAGCTCTGGGGGCTCTTACTGGTGTTAAATGTGATTGCTATGGCAACACTGAGAATTACGAAGATTGTGCAGTGAGATGGCTGTTCCTGACTGCCCTTGGGAGTTTACAAAAAAAACAGATAAGCCTGAAGTATTAAATTGCTGGCTCAAGGTAAAGACTGGTGAAATTCAAAGAATCCCTTATCTCTAAAATCATTGGACAGACAAGGTTCTTCTTCAGATCCAAAATACAAAGGTGCAGGTTACAGTATTGTTGCAAAGTTTAGGTCTGCAACCTCAGCAACTTGCTAGGAGGAGACACTAGGTGGGAAGGAGTAGGAGTGTACATTTGTGATGCGGACAGTTGGCTAGAAACAGAACAGCTGATTCCCAAATCCCAGTCTCCCTTGAAGGGGAGGTGAAAATAGAGGGTAGACCAAGGAAGTTGGAAATCCTCCCTTATGCAGTGGGAAGACACTGGGAACCCTGCATGAGGTTGAATTCTAGGTTGTCAGACCAGCAGCAATGAAATACAAGGTTGGTTGCAGCAATATTTGTAAATATGCATACACTTACCTGGGGTTCCCAACTTAATGTATTATATAGAGTGATGAAAATGTTTTGGAATATGTCACGTTGCTTAAGAATATTGTGAATATATTGAAAACCACTGGACACTTCAAAAGGTAGTTTGTCAAAACCATAGTAACACCAATGATTCTTGTCCAAAACAATGCAATGACATTTTGATTCGTACAGATAAGCCTG